TTGTAAATTTTTATAATATTTAAATAATTATTAATAGAGTTATATTAAAAAAACCAATTCTAAAAAATTATGACTCATACTGTATATCTTTCAAGAAGAAACCATGAAATTAATCAAGTTATTAAATGAAATATAAAAAATTTGTTTGGATAGGAATATATTCTCTTTGATTATTGTGTTTTAAGACTATTGAAGTTAAAATAAACTCTAAGGTAAACTGTCTAAACTTTCAATAACTATATTTAATTTTATATTACTAATCTAACTTTAAAATTCAAGGTATATGATTATATTCTGTGACTTTTCTTGGGCTAATAATATATATATTATATTAATTATAATATAAAGTTGCATAACACTTTTTGAAAAAAATTTTTTTAAATTTAAATTTATTAATATTTTATTCTTAAAAAATAAATAATACAATATATTAAGTTAAATAATATGTTTAGTTATTTATACTAACTATAGTTTATATTAGTATTCATAAAAGAATTTAAATCTTTATTTTCATCAACTAACAAAGAACTCAGAAGCCTACTAGATTCAGTAAAAGCTAAAATTAATGGGTCTTTTATAGATGATATTTTATCCAAGTTAAATGAAGTTGGTGTCAAGGCAGAACTCTCAAGCATAAGGAAAGTAGGGGTAGTTAAACTAGCTAGTGTTTGGAGAAACTGTTTATCAAATAGATTATCCAATATGCTTTCAAGCTGACTATAACTTTCATTATAATTTTTTTCTATTTGATTTAGAACTTTCTTTTTGCTTTCGATTGATTGATCAAAGATATCTCTATATTTTATCAAAAGTTGTTCTTTACAAAAATAAAAAAATGTTTTCCATGCTGCTCTAGCCATAAGTTGTTTTAATTCTTTTGGATTTAAAAATACCAGTTTAATATATTTTCTATAAATTCAAGCTATTTCTTCTTTTATCATATTTAATCTCTTATCAATTTTTTCTATTAGTTGATTGTGTAATTATCTAAATAGGTCTTCAAATCCTGTTCTAATTGTAATAGTAAGGTTGTTTTGAGTCTTTTCCTTGTATAATATTAAATTCAATTTATCAAAATTCAAGCTATTAAATTCAACAAAAATTAAAAGAATTTGTGGTATCGATTTTAATCTTTGTTCTTTCTCTAATATCTTTTCTATTTTTATATTAATGGAACTTGGAAGTTGCAGCTTATTAATTTCTTTATAATCTATATGTGTTTCTTCAACATTAACTAGTGAAAGACTAGAATTATCTCAGATGATAGCATTTTCATTATTATTACTGTATTTTAATAATCCCAAATTATCATAATTTGAAATTACCAAAGTTGTTTAAATAGGTGTTTGTTCTCTCTAATCATTATTTTCTAAAAGTTTGAAAGAATTAAAATTTGAAGACCTAGAATTATTTTGGATTGATGGCATGGAACTATTTCGGATAGGAGTTTAATTTTTTTGATTTTGTTCTAAAAGTTTTGAAGAATTAGAATTTAAAGGTCTAGGATTATTTAAAGTTCTAAAATCATTATAAATTAATGGTGTGGAATTATTTTGAATAGAAGTTTGATTTCTTTGATTATTGTGTTTTATGAGTCTCAAAGAATTAGAATTTAAAGGCTTAGTATTATCTAAAGGACTAGTATCATTGTCTAATTCCATTGCTATTGATTCTATAATATTATTTTTTGATGTATTTCTTTCTTCACTCATATGATGATCATCATAAAATATAGACTTATCAAGGTCAATATCTTCTTTCAAAGTGTCAATAAGCATATTGAATTTCTCTATATATTCCTTTAATCTATTTAAAATAATGTTTCAATATTTATTATTTAAATTTCTTATTCTTTGATAAAGTCCGGAATTCTTTTCTAATAGCTTTTTTAATTTTTCAAAGTCTCCTAATTTAAATTCTTATTAATATTTATCTTCTTCCATAAAATTTACAATTAATAATATTGGCACAAAAGCTTTGAAATATATGAACATTGTGATTGAAATAATTATGATATTTTTGAAATAAGTCCAAGAATTATTGAATGTTTTGAGTAAATAAGATCATCTTTGTCATTATGAATTATTAATTTGTTAATCAAATCTAATATTTCCAATTCAATTAATTCAATTTTGTTTTTTATTTTGTTGAATTCTCTTTTAAAATCTTTATTTAATAATTTTGTTTTTCTGTTAAAGATTATTACATTTGTTATATTGAAATTGGATTTTTCTTTAGATGACTTAAATTCCAGTTATTTAGAATTGATCCTAATATTAAATATTTTAGAATATTCTTATAATTTGATTTAATTGTTGTTATTTTTTTTTTTGCAAAAATATAAATGATATGTTTCAATTTGTTTTTATTTGTTTTTGCAATTGAATAATAATTATTGAAAGTTTGAATATGATTTTCTTCGTTTCAAGTAGTAAAATTTTCCAAGAATTTACAATTAAATTAATATCTTTATCATTGTAATAAGTCAAATAAAGAAAAAATTTAAAGCATTTTGGATCCAATAACTTTATTTGAATATCGAATTTATTTATTATTTGAGATTTTTCATTGAGTGGTTTTTGACTTATTGATATATCTTTCTCTTTCTTAAGGTATAAAATCCATTTTATTGATTTACTATTTGGATACTTGATTGTAATTGCAATATTTTTGTAACTTATATATCTCTTACTTATTAGCACTATATATATGGCTTCAAGTAAGGCTGTTAGAATGTTATCATTCTCTTTTTACAAATTTTCATAATTATTCAATAATTTACAATATTATACCTTGTGATTATATTGATTAAACATAGATCTGTCAAAATTTCACTTTCTTTTATAATCCCATTCTCTAGAGAATTATATATTGTTTTATCAATTTTTTGTCAAACGAATCGAGTTTTTAGTACATCCAATAGGATTTGTTATTTAATTTATTTAATGATATAAGCTATACATGTGGTGTAAATTATTTTGTTGTTGACTTAATTGTTAAAATCCTCAAAAATAATTGTATCTGACTCAATTATTTTATATGTTTTAATAGTGACTCAATTAATTGCGTCAAATA